GGATCTCACATGTCATCCACCATGGTCCAGGAGGGCGGAAAGGGATCAGAAGTTTAAGGACATACTATCATATACTATCTATTTTGATTTCCAAATACTACACTTAAGGTTATTTCTGCAGTTATGTATTGTAATGTTATGTGCAGCTGAAACCCCAACTATAGTCAAATCCTCAATTGTTGGTCAAAGTTTTGTAGCTTGGTCGACTCCCTAGCTCATTGGATCCTTGGTGCGCCATCTCCCATCAGGGCGCCTCGGACGAGTTCCCGCAGCTGGAGGGATATGGGCAGTATTTGTCTGCTGTGGTGGATGAGAAATCGAATCCACTTGCTAGTGGAATTACCACATTAGGAGACTTGGGACCTGGGGAGAACATGCAGATCATGCAGTTCAAACAGCTCAACGGAAAGAAATGGCGATGTTTGTTGATGGCACCCACTTGCCGGTCTGACCTGCAGCTGATCTTTTGCTGAATCCCAACATGCTTTGTCCTGAGACTGTGAAGTTAGGAACGTACTAAATTTTGATAGCCATGAAAGAAGTGTTTCCAATGTGGAGAACATGTCATTTGCGGATGTTGAGCATGTGCCTGTGGAGAAAAGATCGCTTGAGGTATTGGTAGATGAAGACTGGTTTATGAGTCGTGCCGACCAAGTGCCTGTTTGGTTCTGGTACAGTCTAAATCAGTTGAAACAATTGTAGAAAATGTGAAAACATGTCAAGCCATGGATCCTTAAGTTTGAGAAATTCTGACTGATTTGAACTGCAGGATCAAGTTGTAGAAGCAGAGACTGCGGTGGAAGATTGCTCAATAGCAGTGTGAATAGTATCATGGCGAGTTTGGTTGTGACACTGGCGGCACCGTTGCCACGTCCAGATCACACCCTGGCACGTGAACTGATCCTGAAAGGGCTGAAGCAATGCAATGAGGCGCGGAAATAGTTCTGGGGAGTAAAAGTTATGCATTGGTTGATCTGTGTGGATAAGATTGATTATATCGTGCTGTGGTTAAAGATGTGACTCAAATCTAAACACGGTGGGAACAAAGGGGGCAGTGGATGGATCCTCATCTTTGAATCAGTGGTTCAGTGAATTGAATCTCGAATCCTTGTCATTGCTTCGCGTATGGTGTCAGTAGACTACTGATTGTCATCTAGTGACAGCATACGAATTTCCATGGGTCCATGGAAGCGTGATTGTGTTCTAATTCCGTGGCATTATGATGCGTGATGGCTGCCAGGAAGCCATTTACAAAATTCGTGCCCAATCGAAGCGAACGGTTTATGTGCGACTACGTCAGAAAGAGTCGCTCACGCTGTTCCTGAGCGATATGAACAAAAGCGGCCACACTGCGACGAGTTTATCCGAAGAAGCTCACAAGGAGAAGGTGAGTGGTGTAGTGAGGATCTTTATGGTTGTCTTGCATGATTGTACTTCTCGTGGACAGGAAAAAACTTTGTTGGTTTCTTGCTGTTCATGTTCTTTGGCAGGTGGCTGGTGATGATGAGCTCAAGAAGCGCAAGATGCAGCAGGCGGCCGAAGCTAGCTCTGTTGCAGCTGAGAACTCCAGGGCGGCTTTGCACTTGTTGGAGCTACGAGGACAAGGCGGCTCACCGAAGCGGCAACGGCAATTCATGGACAGAATCGCTGGGGTGCTAGACAGGTCACAGCGGTTGCTCACAGCCGGTCTTCGAGTTCGTGAAATGGCAGATGCAGAAGCTCCCGAGGATGGGCAGAGTTGAATTCATGTCGTGTACAGTGGTGCCGGTTTCAAAATAGATGTGGGCCTGGAGATGTTGGCATTCCGTAGTGCCATATTCCGGGTACTTGACGTCATTGGTGGCCCTTGTACAGGAGTATCAGGAGTCTAGTCATAGTGAGGTTCCAATTTTTTGGTGGAGATTGCTTGAAGCACAGAGCTCGTGGGCATGCTCATTTCAGAGCACTTCATACCAATAGATCAGTCGATTGAGTGAAACTAAGCCATGCGCCTAAAATGCAACGCAGCTTGAAAGTCTTCTGCGCACGAGCAGTTTTTAAAGGACCTGATCGATTGTTGCACGGTTCCACATGAGCCGATGGCCGTGAAGCACCTCAGAAGAATATGTTGTATGTATGTCATGTTTGCTCAGATGAAGCTACTGTTTGCAGAGACCATTGGTGCTCACGTGAAGATGTGTTGAGGACATGCGTGAGCAAGTGTCGCATGTCCAAATCGATAGCCGATAAATGTTTTCCTTTGGAAACAAAGATGCGATTCTTGAGATGATCTGGATAGGTATGGAGTGAGTGTTTCCAATGCGGAAAACATGTCTTTTGCGGATGCTGATCGTCTACAAAGGTCAGCTCGACTGCTTTGATCTGCGGCCTGTGGAAAAAAATGGCTTGAGGCATTGGTAGATGAATGATGTTGGTACACACATGTATGCTGATCTCAGATGACAGCACAGTTCGATGACTACTTCTAGGATCATCGCTTACAGAACAAGATTGCCTTGCAACTGTGATTTCTCCAGTAAGAGCAGTGTAAGGCAGGTTCGATTTTTGCTGTATTGGCTGGTTTGCATGAAATGGTCACTTCGGAATGGGTCTTCAAAAAAGAGGGATTTGAATTTTGGATGCGTTTGAGGACTATGTGTGGCCAATGTGGGGCCATCGGAGCTTAAGCCATTCTTGGGTTCCATGGAGGTTTCTGGAGGTTCGAACATTTCCCAACTGATTTTTTTTTGGATCGGAAATGTTTCGGGTCTCTCTTGAGAGCTATATGTGGCCAATATTGCCCATGTTGGGCCGTCGGGGTTGTCCTTTCTACTCTGGTTGCGTCGTTTCAAGTACTATTCTCGGGTTCCATGGAGGTTTCTGGGGGTTCTAACATTTCGCAACTGAAAATTGTTCGGTTGGGAAATGTTTTGGTTCCCTTTGTGAAGGCTATATGTGGTCAATATTGCCAATATTGGGCTATCGGGCTTCTCCTTTGTACTCTTGTTGCGTCATTTCGGGGGCTATTCTGGGGGTCCATGGACGTCAGACATGTACATGCTAAAATGTTCTCCGCCCTGTTTCCCTACTTTTCTCGGACTGATATACCGAAAGGTAGTTTTGTTTTCTGTCGGTTTTCGTCCCGTTCCTCCGCTGTTCCTCATAAGTGGTGCCAATGCAAAACATGTCTCAGTGGTAAAGGTATCTCGAAGGGGTATTGTGGGCAGCGTTCCTCCGTGACGGTGCTGTCGGCCTGATCAGAAAAAACAACGAAACGCAACTATGGATGTGCACAATTTTGACTGGAGGCAACATGAGGGAATCCTCCTTGAATTGATTAGCCGTTTTTGTTCGGTGTAGTATAGAGTGGTGGGTTGGCGACAGTCTGCCATGGCAACTAATTTGGCTGCACCGAAGTTTTCACCGCAGAAGCGGGCGAAGCGTGAGCAGGCGGCGTTGGGAGTGAGCGTCTTCGAGGTGGTCTGCTATGCATCCGATGCACAGCTCATCTTCGATATGGAGCCTGGCATTCCGCTTTACCTTGTGGATGTTTCGCAGCCTGGAAAACCAAGCCCTTGGTATGCCTTCAGGGATCGATTCGAACAATTTCTGGGAGAAGGACATGCTGCAGACTTTGGATCATCCCTGTCGCAACTGGTGCCTTAAGCAGCAGAAAAGTGGGGTTATATGTTGTGGTTTGTGGACGTTTCAAGTTTGAAGTTTGTCGTGGGTGTTGCATCCCGCTGCAGGATGAAGAATCACAGATTCACCTGTCTGCGGAGAGCATCGCTCCTTGGCGGACGGGCCTGTATGTTGGTGGGAAGGACAATCTGATCCCAGCGCTCTGGTTGTTGGAGCAGTTCCTGACATGGCGCGTGGGCTGTGAAGATTATTCTGGTGGCATGCCTGAGGCAGGGGAAAGCTGAGTGGATGGGAGGGAAGCGGACATGCTCAGCCTGTAGTTCGTTTGTATGAATCATGCACGACCCAGACTTCATTACCTATTCTACATTATTCTAGGCCACAGTAAACTATTTTATTGTACTTTGGTTATGCTGTGCGGAGAGTACATGAGGTCTCCTGCAGTGCGGAGTTGTAGGCATGAAATCGTGTTGTATTGTCAATTACATTTGGCACAAAAAAATCTTTGCAGATCAAATCAGATCAAATTAGTTCCACTTGAAACAGACCAGTTTGCATTGAGTAAAAGGAAGTGTTATTGGAAGCTCTGTTGATTTTTGTGAGCATCGATCTAAGTTGGCCATGGCATAGCCATGGATCTAAGTTGGTGTAAGCTGTCCATTGGCAGGTAGCGATCATTCTTCGCACGTCAGTGGACATCACGCCCTGGGTGCAGACGTGCTCGCTGCGGCTGAAGGTGGAGCAGAAGGACTTCGATCTGGAACATGCGAAGAAGTTGGTTGCCCCAACGTGGAGCGGGCATCTGAGGATTACAGTTGTTGGCAAGGGCACGGATGGTGGATGTCATGCAGAGCTGCGAGGGCCTACGTGGCAGTTGCGCGATATGTTCGCAAACTGGTCAGGACACTATGAGAGAAAGGACGGCACGGTGCTGATGGCACGAGAGATGGGTGCTATGTATTGCAGACAAAGCCCTCAAATGACCGAACAAGTGATGGTCTCGGTCCTGATCGAGTTGACGAAGAAGGTCTATGTGAGGAGCATGGAGTTCAAAGGTAGCCTGAGGACTGAGACAATTCAAGCTTTGAGGTGAGCTCGTTTGAGCGAGAGCACCAGTGGAGGAAGTGTGTAGATGTTGGCATTCCGTAGTGCCAAAACTGTTTCAGAGCGTGATACGCACTTTAAAGCAACTATGTCATGTTTCAAGCACAGATCTGGATGTGTTGCATTTGCAGACAGAAGTTGTCGCATACCGGTTGGAACACTACGAGATCATTCTAGTGAGTGAAACTTTGCAATCGCACTTCGAACGAGTTTGGGTAGCCATGCCCTGAAAATGTAACGCATCCCTACAGGCTCATGTGCACCGAAGAAAGTTGGAGCAGCTTTTTAAAGGAGCTGATCGAATGTTGCATGGTTCTACATTGGCTGATGGCCGGGAGTAGCTATGCAGAAGAATTTGGTTTTTGTGTCCCATACTTGCGCAGACTTACCCACTATTTGCAGAGACATGGGTGAGGATGTGTTGAGACATGCGTGAGCAACTGACTCCATTTATAGCATGTCCAAATCGATAGCCGGTCCATGTTTTCCTCTGGAAACAAAGATATCATTTTTCAAGTACATCTTGATAGCCAGAATTTGGAATGAGTGTTTCCAATGTGGAGAACATATCATTTGTGGATGCTGATGCTCGACAGCTTTGATCTGCGGCCAGTGGAGAAAAGATGGCTCGAGGCATTGGTAGATGAATATAAGGAGGCAGACGAACATGTCCACATGTGGTAATTACCGTGCAAGATGAGAAAGTCAAGTCCCAAAAAACAATTCTAAAGTCGATCCAAAAAAATTCTGTGGGTGACAGATAGGAGCTTGGTAGTGCTTGTTTGGTCCTGGTAGTGTTTTGTCTGAGAAATTCTGACTGATTTGAACTGCAGGATCAAGTTGTAGAGTCAGTGAAGACCGCTCCATGCAGCAGTGTGAATAGTAGCATGGTCCTGATCCTGAAAGGGTTGAAGCAATGCAATGAGGCGCGGAAATGAGTATATCGTGGTATGGTTAAGGATTCACATGTTTCACTCAGTGGGTCAATGAACTAGATCTAGGCACTAGAGCCAGTAGACTTCGAGTGCACTGATCTGGGCACTTAGATGAGATCTTGTTTTCGGTGATTGGCATCTAGTGAAAGCAGACCAATCTACATGGGTCAATGAAAGTGACATTATCTTCTGATAGTGTCATCACGTTGCGTGATGCCTGCCAGGACGCCATGTACAAAATTCGTGGCCAACTGAAGCGAATGGTTTGCGTCCGACTATGTCTGAAAGATTGTCTCATGCTGTTCCTGAACGATGTGACTAAAGGCTGCTGGTGGGTACTTTGCAAGTAAACCAGAAAACCATTTGTAGAGGGTTGTTACACTTTCATACGTCAAAGCAGCATTTCTGCGGAAATTTGCAGTTTCTGTTTCTCGGATCACTGGTTTGATTTGTTAAACTCAGTGGAGTCACTAGAATTTACCTCCATGTCATCTTCCTTCTCAACAGTATCTTTCTCAGCAGGATCATCATCATCATCATCATCATCAGCATGATCATCAGCATCATCATCACCATCATCATCATCATCATCAGCATGATCATCAACAGCATCATCGTCATCATCATCATCATCATCAGCAGCATGATCACCAGCATCATCATCATCATCATCAGCAGCATGATCATCAGCATCATCATTATCATCATCATCATCATCAGCGTGATCATCAGCATCATCATCATCATCATCAGCATGATCATCAGCATCATCATCATCACCATCATCATCATCAGCATGATCATCAGCATCATCATCATCAGCATCATCAGCATGATGATCATCATCATCATCGTCATCATCATCAGCATGATCATCAGCATCATCAGCATCATCACCATCATCATCATCAGCATGATCATCAGCATCATCAGCATCATCACCATCATCATCATCAGCATGATCATCATCATCATCATCAGCGTGATCATCATCATCATCATCATCAGCATGATCATCAGCATCATCACCATCACCATCATCATCATCATCATCAGCATGATCATCAGCATCATCATCATCACCATCATCATCATCATCAGCATGATCATCAGCATCATCATCATCACCATCATCATCATCAGCATGATCATCAACAGCATCATCGTCATCATCATCATCATCATCATCAGAGCAGCATGATCATCAGCATCATCATCATCACCATCATCATCATCAGCATGATCATCAGCATCATCATCATCACCATCATCATCATCATCAGCATGATCATCATCATCATCATCACCATCACCATCATCATCATCACATCAGCATTATCATCATCAGCAATATCACCAACTAGATCAACATCACCATCAACATCAATATTATCATACCTTATCTTCCCGCTCCCGACACTGTTTGGGGTCTCTTCCTGGAATAATTTTCGAAGGGACAGCAAAAATGGATGTGACTGTTTCATCCAAATGGGTGTGACTGTTTCAGCTAAATGGTGACCAACCCAACTTTTTTTTTCTGTCATGTTCATGGTTGACATTGAGATCTTCGCGTTCCTAGAATTGTATGGAACCAGTATTTTGGTTGGCATTTAATATGCTTCAGTCTAGGAATTCACGTGTGAACGATCCACGTGGTTTTTGAGCCATGTATCTTTGACAAAACAATGCAGACTTGTTATCTTGTCCTATTTGTGGGACTTTCCAACTGCAGAAATTACTACACTGGTACCCTGGGCTGTTAATTCAGGTCCTCATCCGCATTCCCATTTGTAGCAAGGTGTCCCAGCAGCAGCTCCAAACTCTAATGTCTCTCAGAGTCTAATAGGATATTTCACTAACAAGTGATGGTTATCCATGCGACTCAACAACTCTATCGCAACTTCTGGAAGTTACCATGGCACCATTTGTCATCCCAGTCCTTCCACCCGCCGTCCGAATCGGCTCCGTCGAGGCGATGCATGGGCGGGCATGGAATTCTTCCGTCGAAGATGGATCATTGCGGAAGACTCAAATGCAGATCCTTGATAGCATACATGTCATGTATATGAATGCATTTGATATTATATTGATATTATATATAACATATGATATTGTGGTAATATGTCTATATATATATATCAAACTTGTCCTCGTCGGAGTTCCGATACTTGGCCTTTTTCGCTTCACATGTTGTTTTCGAGTGACAGGCACACTGAACTGCCCCTCACCCAATCTCAATTCTTAGCCCAGTCGAAAATATGCAGGATGATGCCCACAAGTGGACCATCAAGCACCAGCGTTATTGCTGCTTGCTTGAGCAGAAGGCTTGTATGAAGAAGGCGTGCTGCATCATATAGCTATTCGGATGGTGTCTAAAATACATGTGTTCCAACAATACTTGGTGGTTTATCCCACTTATTCTGGTTATGGGATGAGTAGGGTTAATCCACTCACTGGGATATAAGCCACTTGTTCAGTGGGAGGAGCCATGAAGTAACATTCTGTGAAGCAGGTCTGCACTTGTTGACTGAGTGGTAGCAAGCTCCAAGTATGGCAGCGTCAAGTCTTCGCACCAAGCAGGTCGTGGAGCACGTACATAACATCACCGTGGTCAAGACGAAGCCTGTCCCAAAGTACATCCCTATGAAGGCATGTGGATGGAAAAGTCACTGGATATTTCTGGATGATTTCCATACTGAGTTATATCGAATGTTAGGATCCTACAGCGAATGTAGTGCCCATAGGATCTCATTGGTGACTCATGATATAATTGATGTGTGTCCTCTTACTTGGCAGCTATCAGTTCTTCACTCTTAAGCTTACAGTCATTTCGTATACATCTTATATATATATATGCCATCAATCCCACTGAATGATATCTCTACAGAATTATTTGAAGAAAATGAATGATATAGATTCATATATGTATATATATATATGGAATGCCTGTTGAAAATGTCAGAATTAGATATGAAGAAAGAGGGATCAGCCAAAGAGCTGTGGGCAGGTATCGTTGCATTCGTCACTGTTGGGATACAGGTCCACTGGGAAGGTACACTGTGTAATTCACTGTCGGCATCACCCCTGTCAGAAAGTCTACTGACTAGGATTATATTAATTATGTGTATAGATATATATATACATATGTCTATATGTGTGTATATTGTATATGTATATATATATATAGAAGAACGGATAATGATTTGTAAAGTGGAGTGATGTTCCTAAGGCTCCAAAGCATGTCCATGCTGAGTTCTTGGCTCTCTAAGGATCGTGTACAAAATCAACAAGACGAAGCAACTGGGCCTGAACTCCAGGGCCCAGCAACGGTCAAGGAGGTCATGTTTTGGTTCAATTTCGTGTTGCTTATTGTGCCAGCAACTGCAAAGTAACGACATGACATCAACTGATATCAGATCATATCAGATCATGGATTGGTTCAGGGCCCCTTTTCCCTCCTCATATTTCCACATCTTTCAGTTGCGAGGTCTAGCGAAGTCCTCGTTCCCGGCAAAACGAAGATCGTGGTGCAAGAGGATCCCTACGATGCTCAGATGCCACCCGAGGTATCTCCCGGAACCACATGCCATGTGACAGGTTGCATAGATAGATAATAGAGGTATACAAGATACATATATATATAGACATATATTATAGGTAATATAAGACATGTATATAATATATAATATGTAGTTATATATATATACCACCCACTGCACAAAGAACCCGCCAAGGATGTGCTATCATGTGTTTGCTTTCTGTGTAAATGATTGAATGTGTCTTTCTTGTTCGGTGCTGCAGTGACAGGTGGTGAAGATCTATGATCGTATGAAGCCTCTTGGATGTTAAATCTGTTGTTTTGACAGGGCAGAATCCGTTGTCAAACCTGTGACAGAAGGGGATTTGCCATGGCAAAAAGATCCAAGGACGGAACCTGTGGAGCATGAGCATCACTTCAATTGTACCTTCGATGTTTTGGATGTCTTGGATGCATGTTTGCTGGATCCCTGGTAGGTCTGAGACAAAGATTTGGGTCTGTTATGGTCTTAAGTTAGGGGACCTAGAAATGACAGATGCAGATCGCAGCGAAAAGATCACAAGACGTCGTCAGAAAACATCATCAGCTATAACATATATAAAGATATATTATACATACATATTATGTCTATTTGTTTATGTACTTCTTTATTTATCATGTTTTATACATATATATACATGTATGTATACATACATATTATGTCTATTTGTTTATTTACTTCTTCATCTATTGTGTTTGATACATATATATATATATACATGTATGTATATATACATACATATTATGTTTATTTGTTTGTTTACTTCTTCATGTATTGTGTTTTATACATATATATGTATATATATATATAGACATGTATGTATATATATACACAAATATTATGTTTATTTGTATATTTACTTCTTCATTGATTGTGTTATATATATATATACATGTATGTATATATACATACATATTATGTCTATTTGTTTATATACCTCTTCATTTATTCTGGTTTATATATATATATACATGTATGTATTTATACATACATATTACATATATATATATTTATCTTTATGTGTAGAGACACATTGATGGTTTATATATATACATGTATGTATATATACATACATATTACATATATATATTTATCTTTATGTGTAGAGACACATTGATGTATATACATATATGTATATACATACATGTACAGATTATATATATATGGTCCCGTCCTCCATCTCTCCACCCTCCCGCTCCCCCCCTCCAATGGGTTGGCAGCATTTCTGAGGTCCAGCTTCGTATTTGCTAAGTCTTTGCAACATTTCTGACTACCAGTCTCGCATTTACTAGGTACATGTTACCTTTTAGGTGACCTACGTAGCACACAGACTCCCTCAAAATACTTACGTGCCGCCTACGTGCGACCTATAGTCATATATACATGTGCTATTTATCTACTTCCTATTTATTACCTGTGTACTCTGACAACACTACACGTGTTTTACATTTACCGATATGGATGTATATATGTATTGTTTAGTATATTTATAGTTCAGGGCAAAAAAGTGTAAAGTTTTAGCTTATTCCTCTCGCAACTAACTAGAAAACCAGACTCGTTGAGCTTTTATATCGACCTCCAGCTGGGTAGCTCGCCGCCGAGGTTTCGAAGCTGTTGTCCAATTGGTACTGTGGATGGTCCCCGAGGAAGAGGGAATGGCGCTGCGCCAATGAGGACTAGGGTAAAAAAATGGGAGGATCATCCCACAGAGCGTACCTGGTTAGTAAATGGCGTTCGAAAAGGCTTACAAACGGGATAAACCACTTAGGGGACTCATTGATCAAGGTTATTGACCAGTTACTGAGTGGGATGATCTTCCAAGTAGTAGTGTAAATCCATGGTGGTTAATCTCATGACGATGCCGCTGATGGTACATGTCAGAAGGTGGCCAAAGATCATCGTAAACATATGTACATAACCAATCTCATGGTATGAAACATATAGTATCTCATTCCGCATGGTGTCATAACATGGCCAAAGATGGCCTGGCACCCTGAGGACCGGGGCTGCCCTGGTGCCTGGCATGGACATGGACATGGACATGCTCACTGGTGCCTCGAAAAATCTGGGAGGAGGAGTTCCTCACTAGCGGCACTTCCGGTGGTCGAATTTGGATGTTTTTCTCCACTCAGAGATCAGATTCAAAAGGGAACGCATGAAATCCACTGAGGAATCCTCACATTCCATCATTTTCCTTGTTAAAATGGAAGGCAGGACGGTTCTTGACTGAATTGATCGGCAAGGTGACAGGGCCTATCTATGCCTCTATTGATTTGATTGGAATCAGTGGATTCATGGTTCCGTTTCCTCAGCAAATATTAAAAAAGAATCTCGCGGTTTCCAGTTGCAATTGTCCCGAATACGAATTCTTAGCTTTCGAAGATTGGAACATCAGGCCACACACAACTTGGCCAAGGATGTTCAGTTTGATGTTATATTGGAAAGAACGATGATCTTTCTAGATGCCCTTTTTGTTGCTCTGAGGGTACATAGATGATGCCTCTGATATTGCGCGTGTTTGCTAGTTTGTTTGACATGTTATACTTGCAGGATAAACTATTGCTCCTGGGAATTTTGACTGAAACCAGCCCTATCGTACCTGTTACATATTCCGAAACTGAAGGCCTGCAAAGTTATCTCTCAAGAATTGGACTTGTGTCACATATGCTGTTGTTGATGGGGTACCACCCCCCAAACATGAATATAGACTTGTGATGACTTGGGGAGTAGAAGGTTAGAAAGTTTACCGGAGGGTATCAGTGGGTTGGTTGGGAAATTTCGGGAATATGTTGACTGGAAATCGTTGGTTTTGAGAGAGTCTTGACAAATGGAGATGGAGGAGGAGAGAGAGAGAGAGAGAGAGGGAGAGGGAGAGGGAGAGGGAGAGCCAGAGGGAGCGAGAGGAGAGAGGATCCAGGGATGGGAGGGAGGGAGGGAGGGCAAGAATGAGAGCTTGATACCTTTTTGCATGCCCTTGGTCAATATTTTGGTAAAGAATCTCTATTTTTCCATGTGATTCCGGATGCCACCCTGCCAGGAGCAGCGCGGATGTGCCGCGCACACCTGCAGTGGGATATCCATGTCATCCTGGAGGGATGTGACGCGTGACTAGTGCTGCAGCAATTTCAAGCTGCCCTAATGTTTGATTCTGTAAGACTATGATTTGACATCCGCATCCTTGCCGACATTCTCCATCTTTGTTTCAAGTAGAAACCATATTCTTCCTGATTGAAAACTAAGGCAACACTTAGGTAGAATATATTGGAATCGGACACATATATATATTCAGGTGGGAATCTCCTGAAATGTTTCCCCAAGTAGACGCCTGTGCAAAGGGTCTGTTTGTTGGCATGGTGAGCCAGTCGGACAAATATTCTGCGCACTTTGGCGCGTGTCCGAATTTTGGCCGCGCCCGAGTGGTTTTTCAATGCCTTGGTTAGCAAATGACTGTCGCCTCTTGGCTTTTGATTCTGAAAGCGTCCTAAGGCTTCGGGGTGACTGGCAGCAACGGTTCGAAAATTTCTCGAAGTCTGTTCAATTTTTTGATGAAGTAATGGTTGTGGTAAATATACATCGAGAAGGCATCCTGAGAGGTTTCATATCATTCCCTCCAGTTGATAAGTCAAAACTAGAGTTTGGTCAAAACCCGTTAATGGGTATGTTTGTAGACCCAATGCGTGAATAGCTCCAAGAATGGTTGCACGACCATCCCTCTATGTCGGATGCTTTGGCATGGTTGGTTTACGCGACAGCCTCAACCGTCTAGATATAGCTGCTATTCCCGATGCCTGGGGATGTGGTTTTGCCCACTGGCCCACAAAGAGTGCCTTAAATGCCTATGCGCACGAGCAACTTTGTAAAGTAGCTGATCGATTGTTGCACACTTCTATATGAGCTGATGGCCTGGAAGGTATATTGGAATATCCCACTAGAATTTGGTTTTTGTGTGCCAGGTTCGCTCAGATTAAGGCAGTTTTTGCAGAGACATGTGCCATTGGTGCTCATGTATTTGGAGCATGTCTAAGCCGATAGTTGAGGAATGTTTTCCTTTGGAAACAAAAATGCTATTTTGAATTGAATCTTGATGCGGAGAACATGTCTTTTGCGGCTGCTGATCATGTACAAGGAGCAGCTCGACTGTTGTGATCTGTGGCCTGCAGAAAAAAGATGGCTCGAGGCATTGGTAGATAAATGATGGTTGACGAGATGAGGGCATCAAACTGGTAAAGCTTCACAGAACAAGATTGCCTTGCCTTTTTCTTCCTGTTTCCTCCTGCTGCTGCTGCTGCTGCTCCTGCTTCTGCTACTCTTTCTGTTCAAAAAGGGGCATCTTCAAAAAGCAGTCGCTTAAAACCAAACCACTCCCAGCGGCAAATCCCCATGGCAGTGAAGGACGGAAAAGCATCAAAATTGCGCCCAAAAGCTCCCTAATGTAACTTCTGAAACCTATAGAAAAGGATGATTTTAGCTACGTTTTCTTCCTGTTTCCTTCTGCTGCTGTTGCTGGTCCTGCTCCTGCTACTACTTCTGTTCAAAAACCTGGTCAAAAGACAGCCCCCGATAGGAAAACACCTGGTTGTTGCTGCTGCTGTTGCTGCTGTTGTTGTTGCTGCTGTGGCTGGTGACTGCTGGTGGCTGCTGGTGGCTGCTGCTGCTGTGCTAGCTACTTGTTCCTCCTGCTGTTGAAGAAGTGGCTGCTGCTGTTGCTGTTGCTGGGCCTCCTGACTGGCAGCTGCTGCCTACTGGCTGCTGTATCATAAACTCCTTTTCCCTTACGCGCTCCCCGTGGCCATCAATATAATTGGGATTTGATTTTGGATTGTTTTCAGGGCTATGTGTCGCCAATGTGAGGCCAATATGGGGCCTTCGGAGCTGAGCGTGTGTCAACTTGTTGAGGAGGTTTCTGGGGTACCAACATTTCGCAACCGAAAATTTGTCGGTTTCGGGTCCATTTCGAGGACAATGTATGGCCAATATTGAGCCATCGGGGAGCTAGGTTGGGTTGGGAAATGTTTCGGGTCCATTTTGAGAGCTATGTGTGGCTAATAGTGAGCCATCGAGGGGCTAGTTTGAGGTTCCATGGAAGTCTGTGGGGGTTTTAACATTTTCCAACTGAAAATGTTTCGGTTGGGAAATGTTTTGGAGTTCTCCTTGGTGCTCTTGTTGAGTCATTTCCGTGATTGATACACCTAAAGGTAGCTTTCGTTACTATCTGTTTCTGTCCCTTTCCTCCCTTGTGCCGCTCTTGTTCACCCTCCGGTTCCTTTGTTCCCCTAATTAGTTCTATTGGTGGCCATGGAAACATGTCTCAGTGGTAAAAGCATCTCGGAGTGGATGTGTAAACATTGCACTGGAGGCAACACGAACTTGATTTTTTTTTGTACGTGGAGTTCAATAGTAGCTGCTTTTGCTCGCTGCAGCATAGAGCGGTGGGTTGACGACAGTCTGCCATGGCAACCAATGTGGCTGCACCGAAGTTTGCACCGCAGAAGCGGCCGAAGCGTGAGAAAGCTGAGTTGGGAGTGAGCGTCTTCGAGGTGGTCTGCTACGCATCCGATGCACAGCTAATCTTCGATATGGAGCCTGGCATTCCGCTTTACCTCGTGGATGTTTCGCAGCCTGGAAAACCAAGCCCTTGGTATGCCTTCAAGGATCGATTCGAACAATTTCTGGGAGAAGGACATGCTGCAGACTTTGGATCATCCCTGTCGCAACTGGTGCCTTAAGCAGCAGAAAAGTGGGGTTATATGTTGTGGTTTGTG